TGGCACTGAAAGCTCTAGAATGCATGTGAATGTTTTTCGTTAACCCATTTCTGACTCAGGTAGTGATGACGCCGACAAAGGAGTGGAGTGATGGGGTGGGGCGAAAGGGGGATCGGAGGTGATAAGTCTACGACCTCGTAACTTGAGTACATTGTGTCTAGACAGACAGTTCTACCTTCCTCCCAAGTGCCCTCACTTTAATGGGGGGAGAGGCACTAATTGGAGGAAGTAATGTAGACTGTGCCAACACCCTTACATTACCTAATTTATTGGCCTATTAGAGGCTTAAACTTCATCTAGCATCTGAAGCAGGAGCAAATCTACCTTAGTAGCTGGAAGTTCTGTAGTTTTTTGTTTGATTTAGCTCTTCTCATCCACCTCAGTCCGTTCTGAAGTAGTGAGGAAGCCCATGACACCTAGTGGAAATGCAACCATGAGGTTTAACACTCTATTAATGCATGACAGCCTCTCTCTCCTCCTTTGAGCTTCTTCCTCCTCTTGGTCAGTTTCCCACCTTGAGCATCCTACGAACCAGTCGCTCCAGTCATCGAATTTGCGTTCAACAATGATGGTATTCGTTTTCAACGCCAATGGTGCAACCTGGCAATTGAACTGGTTCTGGATCCGCAGTTGCGTCCTAATGGGGAAGCGGACAGCAGTGAAGAGGGGAGGAAACTGCTATTCTTATAGTCCTGGCGACTGGACAGCGCTGCACAATGAGGCCATCTCGTATCCCCATCATATGTCGTAACAAGGCTGGAGCAAAAGCAGTCACCTTTAAAAAGGCGAGGTCTGGAATGGCTTAACAGAAATGGTATTTTGCATCTACACCCCTGAAACATCTGGCCTCTAAGCAAGTAGAGTAAAGGTGGAGGAGGTATTGCATGCTCGCTTAAATAACCTTTTTATACGGGTACCGTAGGTGTCTCCGTTACAAACTTGCCCGTATGTTTAATGGAACCTATTTGCATGGGACAAAAGGGGGATTTAAGAATGCCACACTCTAACTGACGCAAGGAAGTGTGAAAAAAATGATATTTTTAAATTAATTCCTTTATAATTCAACCTCGTGACCTCACTCCCTTCTCATTATTAAAGTTTGACCAAGATACCACTTAAGCATTCCACTTTAATTTTTTATTAAAAAAACATAACTTCAAGTTATCATAGCATTCTAAGCTTTACTTTAACGTTTTGATAATTCGCTTAACTGCGTTTCAATGTGCGGGTGAATGAGCCGTCGGAGATCATATTTCCGTTCGCTGATAGCCTCCGGCTACGGCAGTAGACTCAGCAGTTCTGTACGCCGACAATGCATTTTCTGCCATACTAATGTAATAAGTTGTTTGCTTAACTCTCAGTTTTGGTAAATGGCTATGTAGGGGCTCCGATATTGTACCTCCACTAGGCGGCCTGGACTCTGGGTCATGCCTGTAAACCCAAGCCCCACTTTACTTCGACAGTACATAAACTGCCCCAGTGGTAGGTCTCCTTTTGTGTTCGGAGAAGTCTCAGAATGCTACATCGGTGGTAGTAGAAAGCTAACTTTATCTTAAAGGACAAGTATTCCGATTTCTACTTCTGGGTGACAAACCTTTGCGGAGCAGATACGCAGATTGCTACGGATGGAAAAATCAGCGACAGCCCATAACAGAAGGGCTGAAAGTGGCGCTCACCTTAGCCAACTTCCTCAGTCCTGTGTTATGCAGGAATGCTATTAATAATTAAAGTAACACTAGCCTTGAATCACCCGCGAAATTTCGCAGCGGACCTGTTACTGTACCTGAATGAAGATATTATTTGTGTTAACACGCGATATCTAAACGGAACACAGACAGATATGGCCGAACAGCACTAAAGTGGGAAAAAGAAATCATGCTAACACCCGTTCTTCCTTATATGACCCTACTTTTAGGCTAGAGTTCCTACCGCTTGTGATGGGCATAAGTGATGTCCAGCACATTCCTCTGTCCCCCCCCCCCCCCAACAACAGTTTTCACACAGCATGAAACTTTAGATGCAGCAGAATTGAAGAGAAGGGATTTGGGGCGTTAAGGTCAAGTATCACGGTTGACTTGTGAGTGTTTATCTCTCTGCACCGAATAGGATGCCGTGGCTGACGTGTGGGGTTAACCAGTGGGAGCCCCGGAGACGACACTCCAAAGAGGGGCCATTCAGGGCCTCCACCACAGTGCCTTCACCGGGTGGACGGACGTCCGGACCATGCCTGTAGCCCCGAGCCAAGTTATTATTGTCCTGCTGCGTCTTTACGAATGCCTTGGGGTGCTACGCTACTACGACTTCTAAGAGGTCCAGGGAGGACTCCCGGTCTATAGTGTATTATTCTCTGAGTTAAAGGAACAGGGTATATTAATTCATTTCTCGTCATTTCCTATGGGAGAAAACTGCCTCTCACCGATTTTGCACACATACTATAAACACATTTTTCGCTATTACTGTAATACAATGGTGGCTTATCCCTCGGTATTGGTGAGGCACCACATTTGTACTTTGAATTAGCCTTCTTGTACCTCTCTGGATGGGCTGGCCTTCGGGTCATGCCAATAGCTCAAAAAACTTCTCTATGCTGAATATATATTTTGCTCGGGTATTGTGTCTTCTTTCGTCTTCAGGGAAGTTTCGGGATGCTACAGTTACAGTTTTTCATTTTATATATAAACTCCTGCATAAGCTAGAGTCAGACGAGCGAGCGGGTGCTCAAAGTCCATTAACCGTTTCCCTCGAAGTAGCATTAAAAAAATAAAGTATGGGTTTTGGGGGCGAAGGCATACCTGAGGTGAACACGTAAGATAAATTTCCCAAAAATCATAAAAAACGTTGTGCAACAAATTTAAAAATTAATTAGTTATAATGTAACATCTATATTAATTCAGAAAACTAGTCCAAACCACTTACCATAATCAAAATATCCCACTTAAAACAACACCACTATTAGTGCCAGATCCTTTGTTACCTACAGTTTTTACTCCTTAGAAAAGTGTCTTCATGAGCATTTTGCTATTTTCTGTGCAGTGATAAACTGATATTTTGAAATTATATGCTTCAACAGTATCATTATTCACTACTTGATTTCAATTGGCTAATAATGCCATTAGCGTTGGGTTAGATTTAGTCGTGGAACATGGTGAGGGATCTGCTGAAACTTACACTTGCTGGAGCTGTAGTTGGGTTTCTTGGTTACTGTATTTATTTTGATCGCAAGCGCCGAAGCGATCCAGAGTTTCGTGCCAAACTTGCCAAGAGTAATTCCAACTGTTGGCTTTAGTATTTTTTATGTATAGGACGGCGAGCGAGAGCACTTGCCGCGCAGAGAGCATCAATGCCTGTTCTTCCTTCCATGAATGATCCTAGGGCGATACACAAATTCTTTCTGGAACAGATTCAGCAGGGTGAAAATGCACTCACTACTGGCTATACCGATGAGGCTGTCAAGCATTTTGCATACGCAGTTGTTGTGTGCGGTCAACCCACCCAGCTTTTGCAGGTTCTGCAGCAATCACTTAGCCCTGGAATATTTTCGAAATTGGTGACTTCACTGCCTGAGGTCAGAAAGGTAGTTACTTAACATTAATAATCCGAATTCACTCAATTTAGTTGGTTCTAGACGCAAATAATTTGCTTGCGAGGAACCAGATTGAGGAAGAATTGGAATAAACCTGTACATTTGCCTTTAGCTGAATAAAAGTTTGCCGCACAGAATTCTTTTCGGCCTTTGTTCTCAATCTGTGGCACTTTATTTAAGCCAGTTATTGTTGTTATCTTTGTTTAGATCTCACCTTCGTGGCTACTTTTTCTGGCGTGTCTCTGCACTTTGTGCAGGCCAGACACAATAAACCCCTTTGAAATGTTCCCCGGTAGTGATAAATTCGGCAGACCTGATAAAAAGCCCCTTGAACCAGGGCCCCTTAATCGCGCACACACCCTTTTAGTACGATCATTGTGGCAGCAGCTGCAGGCTGCGTTTCCTGAAGGGTTCGAGTCCCTTACCTCTGTGGATGTTGGATTTCGATGCAAGCTACGCAAAGAAGACATCCTGCTCATCAAGCGTTTCGTTGAAAAGAACCCTGAGTTTCCCATTCCCTCCGCTGATTCTGTCAATGAAATATTTTCACGCTTTATCGAACCCATTCCTGAAGAAAATGAGGCTTTCTCCTTGCAAATTCCCTTTGAATATGCATTTGCCTTCTCACCTTTTCTTATTTACCTTGTTTATCGGAAATTTGGTGCAATTATTACTACTGCGATGGCGATTTTCTTTTTTGGAGGCTATGAAGTTTATATAAAAGCCATTGCCAAACGCCATGCTCTTATCAGTCGACTGCCGTCTGTTCCTGATCACTGTCTCCCTTACTCCAAGCAGTCTTTTGTGTCTCGATTCTTTAGTTGGAAGTCGTCTCGGAGCTCCGAAGACGAGTGTATTGAGTACTTTAAACTTACAATGACTCCGCCCTATGCAGAATTGCGTCCTGACCGCATTTTTCTTCTCGTTGTTGGAGATTTCGTCGAGACCATTTCGTCCACAGCCGGCGCCAGCCTGGGACAGTTTTATTATGTACTGAATTCATGGGTACCCTTTTATGCTGCCCTTCCCTTGGCTTTCCTATTTATATGGTTACTCATCCGTGTGGCTAGTTCCCCACGCAAGTTGAAAACAAGCAAAAATAAAAGAATAAGTAAACATAAAGAGGCATTGCCTTTGAAACAAAAATGAGTATATGTACTTATTATGACCCAATGAATCCATGGCCCTAATAAATCCCCTTCCACTACTTGGAATGTTTTTTTAAAGGGTCTCTTCAAGAAAAGTATCAGGTGGTGTCTTGTTTGGATCGCCTTCAGTGTTTGGCCTTCAGTGTAAATCGGAGCAATGAGTTTGTTGGTGTTGGATTTTGGTTGTTTGTGCATAACTATCACATCAGAGGGTCTTCTGATGAGGTGTTGTGGATGGATTGGCTTCAGTCCTGGGGTTTTGCTTCCCTCTTCCTTTTTTGAAAAGTGACCGTAGGCGTGGGTTTCTTGCGACATCATAATGTGCCTGCTCTAGATGACCACGCACCAGCCTAATTCTTGTCTTCAGTTGTTGTTTTAACCTCTTCAGACATGGATCTAACCCCAAGGGAGACTGCTCTCTTCATAAGCCGGAATGCTGACCACGTGAAAATCAATGAGAAGGCGATTCCATCTCTGGCCGAGAAGGTGGGGTAAATTCAAGGAAATAACCGCTACTCCACCTTTAGCTTTATGCTGACTTGAAGAGTGGCTTTTTTTACGATTCTTGGCATGCTCAAGACATGCATCCGAAAGCAGCAAGCTCATCTACTGTGAACTGGTAGGGATGTCTGTTATTTCATTCTCTTGTTGCATCTCATGACTATCGCAAAAGCCACGGGCCATTTTGACAATACTCTAACCAAAAGCAAGTCTATTAATTCATTGGTGAATTCTCAAACCGTAGTCAGTTCTTGTCGGACTGCAATTAGTATTTACACTAGATGGTTAAACTTAAATCACTCACATACACCTCTCAGTCGCATAATTATTTTGTCTTTTAAGGGTATTTCTGGTTGACTCTTTGAATTTCTCATTCTGGACGGAAAAAGGTGTTCCCAAGTACGTGGTAACTTTCAAAGGACAACCTTACACCGGCTACATGGCCCTTTGTGCAGCAGTCAATCGTGCTCTTGAGGTAAATGCGTAAACGGGTTTACCTCGCCATTAGTCCCCATCTGATCGTAACCGAGTATTCAAGTATTAGGTCATGTTAAGGGGTGTCATAGGTGATCCGAGCAGGGCTTCAGGCTCAATCGTGGCCCCAGAAACCCCATGCAGTAACCTATGCGATTAAAACACATCATTTTGCCGCACAGTGCCTTATTCCGAGTATCGTATCTGTTCTTTGAAGGAATCGAAACCGACTGCAAAACGCGAACAAAGACCTTCTGGTGTGCTACAGGTTTGAAGATTGCATTGTCTTAATGTCCATTATTACAAAGCAAAAGTTGGATAAACACATTTGGTACAGTTCAACTTATAACTCAATAGTTTAATGGAAACAAGGATACAAAAGTGGTAACGAAAACGGCAAAATTGCGTTCTAGGTGGGTGAGAGGAGTGCCAGAACCACAAATGTGATACACAATATGCAAGCAAAGTCCTTCAAGAAGGTCCACATGTAGTAGGTGATTGCCACAAACAGGAGGGTAAGCAAAAAAACTTTCAACAGGCCTCTAGACTGCTCTGGTATAACTGCCCTTTCAGGAGTCGACCATTGCTGCTGTCCTAATAAACTTCGAGCAGCATTGGGGAGTGTAGAGATGAAACGATTGAGAAAAATACAAATGAGCATTGTTGCAGTGGTGGTGGTACTTCCTCTGCGCTGGGTGGATGTCCTTTGTTCCCACTCCGATTGCCGTTGATGGAAGGGGGGTAGGGAATCGGTAGTGGATGTATGGAGACTCCCACTTTCGTTTGTCCCTTCCTCCATAAACGCTGTGTACCTTTGACTAGTAAAGCACCCCGTTTGGTGTTAGCGCATGTGTAATTCAATTCTCCGATAGCATGTCCGGTCATATGACCGTAGTTTATTGAATTCTCCTGGTACGGCGGCATTGGACTGTGGACGAGATGATGGTCCAACGCCAAGGTTTGCTTGCTTCTTGATTTAATCTCCTCCATATACGCGGAATTAGCACCGGCAGCCACAATGATAGATTTAGAAGTAGCTGAATTGTTCTCATGAAAAGAAGCCATACTGGTGGAAACGACTTCCAAAATGACCCATATCGCTTGGGGTTGAGGTGACTATGAAGCAGTTTGTGTTTTGGCTTCTCTAACAGGAAGGAATAAATCTCCTGGACCCAAAAGTCCTCTCCAATCTCACCTTAGAGAGGTCTCGATCGATATTCCGAGCTGACGACCCGAATGTGGAAATACCGCTGTTGGAAGCGCGTCTACAGATCATGCATGAACACGCGACGACCCTGTTAAATGACTTTGGTGGCTGCTTTACTAACTGCATTAAGGTCTGTGAGGCTTCAGCAGCGAAATTGCTTCAGTTGGTGTGCGATAAGTTCCCTTCTTTCCAGGATAGAGCAGTTTACAAAGGACGCAATGGTATGTTGGATCTCCGCGTTCACAGTAACTAATTAGCCGTCTTTTATTATGCTCCTCTCTCCCCTGTAGTCACTTTCTACAAGCGTGCACAAATTCTCATCGCTGATTTGTGGTTGGCCTTCAAGGGGAAATCGTACGGTCATTTCTCAGACATTGACTCCCTCACCGCATTTGCTGATTATAGGTAAGCAAGTACTTGAGATACGCAACAGGGGTTAACGTAATACTACCACTTCATGTCATTGCAGAGTGCCACAGGTGTTGGCTTACTTCGGGGTCCTCAATTATGACGAGGACCTGATGTCCAAACTGGTGAATAGTAAGTGACTGGTTTTGATTCTAGTATCTGCGTTACTTTAGTTAACGATGTATCTACCAAGTTGAATCTATTCGCACAAATGCTACCTGACTCCTATGACATGCCTTTTCAAACATTAGTTTTCAGGACTGGTATTTCACATACGATCTTCGTCGTATAAAAGCTGACACTACAAAGGTGTCAGGTTTACCTGTTATATGGAATTAAAGGCAGATTTGAGAGTCGCCGTTATTTTGGGATTTCTGACACAGTACTCTCCATGCCTCAATTTGTTCTTTTTTTTAAGATGAACACCTCAGCAGCAGCTCCGTTTGGGAGGTGGAAATCCGTGGGGCCTGTCTTCAAGCAGTTGTGGTTAGTTCGTTTCGTACAAGACGAACGTATATTTAATCCTTCCGTTTCAAAGTATGTGCTGCAACATTAGGGGTCAGTTGATACTGTCTCTGGTAGTGTTAGAGTTGGTCTAAACTAGGGGTTAGAATTGATTTGAAATCTTATTTTTGATATTTTGGACTGGGCTCTTTAGCTTCCCTCGTCAAGGGGTTACTCTCACCCTCTAATTGGCATGATAATTGAGCAAAACAGATTATCCAGTGTCCAATTCCTACCAGACACTGAAAATGACAGGTTCGATGGTGTTGTGTCAGTCTGAGAAGAAGCAACTGTGCTGCCTCATGTTTAGGCTTTAATGTTCGCTCTGATACTCAACAAATAATGACGAATTGGTCCATTATCCGTTGATAAGTGTCTTCTTTCTGTTCGAGCGTCGCGGGTAAATAATACTTTTTTTCAAATTACCCGAGACAGTACGACCGCCTAATCATCCAACTCTCAGTACTTTCCCATTATCTAGACTTCAATTATTGGTGGAGGAGGTTTGCAGTCTATAAGCAAACACTGCGGATAGAGGTTCACTTTGCAACGCCACATAAATGGACACTTTTATGTGGCTTTACTCTACATCGCATGCGTTGCCGGTAGACCGAAAAGGGGCATCTAGGTTGTTTTGTATTTACTTTTTATGTTGAAGATTCTGGTCCAGAAGACTCAGGAGCTACTCTCGCGAGAGGGAGATAGGGAAACAATTTGCAACTCGGTGATTGCTGACAACTTTTTGTGGCTTTACCGCCGACGATTCGCTGAGGAGGTGGAGGCAGCAATGCCTATGCATCGTACACGCTGCATTTATTACTAAGATCACGAATATAATTCGCATTTTCCAAAAATAATTCTAGTGCCATAAATAATAATGCCAAGCTGCTCTGAAATAAAGTTTTGTACTAAGACGATGCTAAGTCTTGTCATATATGGAACGATGACTGACGGGGTGGAGTTGACTTGTGACATTATTTTCGTTTTATTAGCGGGATTAATTTGGGGATGACTATGCTAAATCCTCAAAGTTATGGACAAATGCAAAACCAACTCAGATAGCAATAAGACTAATAATTGGTACAAGATGTAACGCCCTAAACCTTCCCTGAAGCAGTCATAAATCAGAGCAGTAAGGGGGAAGGTGTACTATTAACGTGCAGAAGAGATGGAAGGTTAGTAGCATAGCACAGAGGGCATGGTGTCGAACTGAAGCACAACACGTAGAGACTCAAGCATTGGCGTGCCAAAACAGTCACCGCGTAGCACCCTTTACCTTTTTGGGCGTCGTGCCTGAAGTTCTCCTTCATCAACCTTCAGCGACGATCATCACAACGTAGACGATGCCTTAAAAACCATCCGCGAGCTAGCAATGTAATACATTAGTGGTTTGCTTAACGGTCGGCTTTGGTAATTGATCACCATCTATACCATTGTACCTCGCTGGGTGGCGTAGATTTCGGGCCATGCTAGTAGCCCTAGTGCCTTCTATATGCCAAATATACATATTCCACCCGAGTATCATGACTTCTTTTGTCTTTAGGGAAGTCTCGGGGTGCAGCAAACAACGCTAGTCATTCGATTTTCTTATATGTAAGAAGGCACTTGACCCCAACTTCACTGATGTCTATCGCGTTTTGTCCTAATTGTGAACTGCATTGGGGAAAGAAAACTCTGCTGACTCCATACTGATCAGGGCCGAGCCATGCACTTCAACGAAGGTATCTCGTATATCAATTGCTGTCCTTAAGACCACTGGCCGAAATAGTTCAGGGGTACGGTGTTCCACACCTGATCCTCCTTTTCACCTTCTTCCCATTCCAGTGCAGCTCAGCTTTCTACCTGGGTTCCATTCAACTAGTACATGGGTGGAGCAGGAATCACTTGTTCATGCAACTAACATCTTCAGCTCCATAACAGCCTTTTCAAAATTGTCCAAGTCTAGTGCTGCCTAAGCTGTTAATGGCATTCTTGAAGATAAGATTGGAGTGGATGTCGAAGATAGACGTCTTTTCTGACCCTTCGGTTAGAGCCCTTCACAGATGCCTTTGTCTTACCACGTTAAGATACAGTATCCAGCCACGAAATCGGGATAGTTGTCCTTTTTGATCGGATTCGCTTGCTGCTGCCACAAATGTAGCACCCCGACTATTTCCTCAAGTTCCAATAAGCCACGGTGGCGTGATACAACGTACGTAAAATACGCTTAGAAGAGCTAGGAGCCATTGGCATGGCTGTTGTCCATGCCGTTGTGCGAAAATATCACATTCAAGGCGCGAAGCGGCCGAGTAGCTTACCGCACATTTCAGTAAAATAGCAAACTTATTATGGTGATCAAAGCCAAACTGTGGATTATGCAAAATACAGACCCTTTACACACAAAACTGTGAAAATACAGTGCTGTGAAATTCAACGTCCAGCCATTTAAGCAGCCATATAGTTACAATTAAAAATAGCATGTAAAGAAACATTAAAAGTAACTAACATACCCATAATAAGCATCAATATAATTCCCAGTACATGTCAACTCACTCAAAAATTTAAAATCGCCATCAGCAGGCCCCTGGTGGCAAACTCATGCACAGCATAACGTTAAAATACGCAGGTAGAGTTGTGCAGCGGCTTCCTTGCTTAGCTCTTTCTCTCTGACCTTCAGAGCCTCCTAGTGAACAGACTGATTCAGCAAGGGTATGCTTATTACTAAAGGTTAACATAAACTCGTGCAGTTTTCGGGTGCTTCATGTTCTGAGATCACTTCTCTCACGGGGAAATCTGACGACTGCTCCGTTGCAAGATTAATGTTCACTGAAAGCTCCTTACCCAAAAGATGCACCGAAGCAATGAATGTTACATCTCATTAATTTGTGAAAATACAATTTTAAAAAGCAATTGTTAAATTTGCACAATACACTGCTGACGCACTTTTTTAATCGTTGGCAGTATCCGCTTATTTTGAAAACATGAGACTGACCAGTGTGTTAGGGATTCGGAAAATCTATCCTTTCAAGCAATCTGACTCTTGGTTTAGGAAGGACCAATGGCTTAGATTTTCCTTCGTAAGTAAAGTGTCAGAAGTGCTGCTATTGTTTTTGCAAATCACCACTTCCCATTCTCGATCTTGATGCGGTATCTGGTCTTTTTATCAGATTTGGTCGTAGGAAATATTTATTTCACTTTGCTTCTCCTTCTCATCAGGACTGCGTTACTGGCCGACAACCTTTAAATGCCTTTAAATGGTAGTGTTATTTATCTCCACCAAATGTGGTGTCTATTTATTGGAATTGTTCCATTTTATTCCCTACCAGCTAATATCATTTTTTACTCCAAATAGAAATTACTTTTAGATCGAATTTTTACTGGAGCCTCGATTTCGACTACCTCCTATCCCCCTATACTTATTGGAATTTTCAATATAGTACCATTCCGTGCAGTGGGGATAATATTTTTCTCCATTTCTACCGCCTAAATTTTTCTGCCTGAAGTAGTACTTCAGTCAGTTTTATTATCCACTACCCGCTTTCTCCACCCTAAAATTTACTGGTTTAATGCTGACGCATGGAAACTTTTCAGCTTTTTCGAGGAAGAACTGCCAGATGCTTCCGCCTAGCACGCGTCCAAGTTATGAAAGCCCTTATGCACGTGAAATCAGTTCGAGAAACCAGACGTCGTGACATTTACTCCATGTGGGACTCAAGAATCGATCGCGCTTGTAAGGACCATGGTCTTCCTTCTTCTAAGATTCTCTACACCGGTCTGGCACAATCCAACATCGCTCTCAGCAAAAATATGCTCCATACACTGGCGCTTTATGAACCACGCACATTTGAGGCAAGTATTCTTTTTCATCAATTAAAATTCCATCGTTTACCTAGAGTCTTGTGGATATTGCCAAACAGTACCACTTGGATGTGGGCTGCGACTTATTTCATGCTTCGCCCCCCTCGGGACTTTTCATTTCCCATGGTATGCTGGCAGAACCAATTGTACCTGGAAATAAACATTTGTACAAATGAACGCCCTCGTCTCTACTCTTTTCAGCTCTTCTGTACACTTGCGATTTGAAGTAAAATATCATTTTCTGAGATCTTGCTCCTTTTATTCGATAGCAATTGTGCTCATAGAAGCATTACTGGTTGATAGTTTTGCAGCCCTCCTTAAATGAACGGATATCCCCGTTCCTCGAGCAATTCTCCGTCAATTACAGACGTGGTGGAAGATGATCCAGGAGTTGTTAATCTTATCAGGTCACTGTGGAATCAAATGCGTTTTGGATGGAACGTCTCCTTGACGCCTCGATTTCTACCTGGGCTTCCTGTCCACTTCCTTGGCAAAAAATATTTTGATTTCCCTAATTGTAAGTTCATTCAGAAGTTTGCCTGGATGGGCTTCATCCATATTCGTTAATTGTTGTATTATGGAACTACTTTTAGCCGAAATGAAGCATAATATCGATGGTGAAATGGGAGCATTTCTAGCAGACTTTCAGTCCCGTCTCTGGTTTACCTACCGGGATTCCTTTCCCCCCATTCCTATTATCACCACTCAACCAATCATCTCTTCCCTTGATTCACCGACCAGCGTGCTTCTTAGGACCACTGCTGCTCTGCGCCTTCATCTAAGAAGCTCGGTACTTAATTCGGCCTCTAGTCCTTCTATCGCCCTAAAAATTCCCCTCTCTACTCGCGTCTCTGACTGTGGCTGGGGTTGCATGCTCAGATCTGTGCAGATGCTGGTGGCACAAGCCCTTCTCGTCCACTTTCTCGGTCGTGATTGGATTTATCAACCCCATAAGAAGTTAGTTGAAATGGCTTTGCTTTTTGCAGCAATGCGATGCATATTTTAATAGAGTAGTAATGAATTACTGATCCTCCCTCCTTGTCGGTTCATAAA